CTTTAGATAACAACATTCTCAAAACCCCCACACTTTAAGAACTTGTTTTTTTAAAGAATGGAGATGACAAACGTCCTATCCAGAAGAAAAGTAAGTGCTGGAGTGAATTAACTGTTGCAAACTGCAAATTTAAATGTAGGGAGCCACAGTTCTACTCAAAACAGCAAGAGGCAAGAAACAATTTGTAAGTAAGTACATTATCACAGGAGCACCTACCATACCGTAGGTTATTTTCAAGAACCAAAAATCTATCATTTTATACATTCAGTCACTTATATATGTATAAAATGTTGCCCATACTCAATGTTTCAGAACTTTAATTTACAGAAGTTCTGAAGAATAAGAGTTTTAGGATAAAAATGCCTGACTACTGGTTCCAAATTTCTAGCTAATTTTAACTCCACTGAAATATATTTGAAAAAAAATAATAATGAAAATTGCTTGCACACATCTATTAATAATGCAAGAAAGATTAAAAAGTTTGAGTAAATAAACTTCATTTGTGGTATTTCTTTAAAGAAGTCTTATATTATCTAGTTCTAAGTATGACACAATACAGAAATGGCTTTGGGTAAAATACACATAAAAGCAAACAAATGTTGCACAGTTTGGAAGCTACCAAGAGCAAAACAAGAAAACAGAGTACACTAAAAACAAGCAGAAAAGAATTTAGATTTAAAAATCCCAGGTCTCAATGAACATACCTATTTTACAGTGCCTTAGATTGAAACCTTTTCCTCAGTGGTTCCTCATATTTCCTTATCTGCTATCTTAGTTCTTTACTGTGCTAAAACAATGTAGCTGTATTAATAAACTATAAAGAGGAGTAAATGGTCAGTTTAGCAAACTAAAATATTCAAGAGCAACATTACAAATTATTTGTTGAGCCAGTAGGAAAGTCTAACCAGTTTCAAAAGTACAGCAGTACCCATCTAAATAGATGCTTTTTTCTCATGAGCTGCCTTCAGAATACTGGTTTTGATGAGAACTGATTTCCATGTCACCATTTTCATTGACATTACTTCATGGTGAAGACTCATAAAGCTGAAATATTAATTTTAGTCACTATTTCAGGGATCTGTGAGAGCATATTTTCACTGACAGCTTCATGTTTAATGTTACGTAAAACTAAGTGTAAAGAAATGCCTGTTGAAATCAGGGAGACAGGCTTTCAAATTTGCAATGAAAACTATCCACCAAGTAGAAGATTGCCTGTTTTGGCACATCTTGTCCTAGCTGTAGCCTACCTTTCAATCTGAAGGAAAATTTATAATCATCAAACCTCATGGTTATTCATCACGGGACATTCTGTGAGACTTAAGTTGTAACTGTGATATAAGAATGAAAATCCAGTCTGTCCTATGGTTAATAATTGCCATGTATTTGGCAATAAGAATAATAAGAACTTATTTTTTGTTTGTGTGCAAAAACAGTGACTGAGTGTATTCAGGAATCAATTCCATAGATGGCCCAGGACATCCCCAGCTAGTCTCTGCACAGATGAAATTACTGGCTGACTGGGGACAACAGACCAACCTGAGAAGAGGCAACTGTTTGAGTGTCTTATCACCTTCACAGAAGTGCTGTTAATTGCTTCAGGAGCTCTCACTGTGGGACCTTCAGACAGTCCCACAGATTCATGCATGCACCTCCTGACGGATGCTGGCCAATACACAGATACTACATACATACTTAAAAGCACTGATTAACCTCTGGGGTAAACAATCTTGCCAGCTCAGATGTAAGAATTACCTAGAACAATAGTTTGGGGAAGTGTAACAATTTAAGCTGAAGATTTTGTTAAGGGACACTTGTAACAGAAATTCACATGGCCATCATCTTCAAGAGATTTCACTCCTTGTGTGAGCACTATCTCATGCAAAGATTCTAAGAAGTGTTGTAGGGTTTGAGGTTTTTTTGGTTTTGATAATGATGCTGTCTTGAAGTGTCTGCATCACACTGTTTCTCAAAGTGCCAAAGATGTAGAAAAACAAGACAAAAAGTGAGGAATAAACTGAAGATTGAATCCATTACCAACTATGTGCACTGGGGCCCTAACATGACAATTAAGAATTGTACATATTAGAAAATTTGTGGGATGCTCACAACCTTGTCCTTGTTTCCTCTGTAAGACTTTTCTCAGCAAGTAATAAGAAAAGGAATGAGTACATTTTTCTGCTTTCTTGTTCCCACATTTATTTTTCTTAGAATTTGACAGCAGAGATTTAATTCATGAATGCAAAATATTCTCTCTTTATGGCACTAATTCTGTTATTGCAACAAACATACTTCCAACAAAACAATATCACAGGTGGTGAAATTGATAATTTGTGCCAAGGGCTAAGGCCTTGTCTCTACTAATAAAAATAAAAATACTAAGCTACTGGGTTTTCACTCCTTCTACGACCAGAAAATTTGCATTAGTGAGGAATAATAGTTATGAGGTTTGATAGTGCAGATGCAGTTTGCAGAAAAGAACCAATACATTTTCTTTCACTTCAGTTTAGTTTGCTACTAGAGTTCATGAGCCTGAAACCTAAATTTAAAAGTGTTAAGCTCCTTTTACTTCAACATATCTCAGGTTAGTGGGACTACCTCTATAACCTGAATGGCAAAAGAATAAAATGAGCTGTGTATGCACCTTCCCAAAGGCCTTGATCAGTATTGTCTTACAATGATCAATCAAGGAAAATTTTAACATTCAGCTCAATGTGATTTGAAGTTCATACACTTCTTTTTAAACACCGATTAGGATTTCTGTCAGACAACTGCCACTGAAAAGTTGACAATCTAATTAATACAAATAACTATCTTCCTGTTATAAAATTGTTCTGTATTTTAATAATTCAATTCTGCTGTATAAAAATGAATATGATAGCATATGTTCCTGAAATTCAAAAGGAAAAGGCATAATTACTGTTTTTCAAATTGTGCCATGGTTTTTCATTGACACTATATGCCATGAAAATAATTATAATACCATCGAACTGAAAGTGAACTGTTCTTTAGACATTTCACTTCGCAATAAATAAAGAACAGAACACCCCAAATATCTACCTTGTTTGATTAAAAAGTCATCTTCAAACATACATTTCAGGTACATTCCCACAATGCAACAACAAAGATTTCTTTTACGCCCAAATTAAAATAGTTATCAGCGGATATAATACAGAGTACAGCTGGGAGCCTAAGAACTTAAAGGGGAAAGTACAGCTGTACAGGTGCCCACACACTCATTTGTTCTGACTGCCCCTAGCAATGAGTTCATAGCTACTAGTCCACGTTCCAATCTATTAGATGGCTTTGGTCTTACCTCACAGAGAACCAAAAAGCAAAGCTGAAAGTAATTTGCCTGCAAAGAGCTACTGTGCTTCTCCACATGGAAGAAGTAGAAAACGAATCTGACAGTGACTGAGACTCAGCCTGGTGATTGTCCCGTTCCTAGGACAGCACAGGTCTGTCTCTTGTTATTCAATCAGAAATGAAAACTACAATTCTACTCATAAAAACTCATGTCTCCAGAAGTTTCATGTTGTAAGGGGAAAACAAATTGAAATCACTAATGCCTTTTCTGGTCTGATCTCTCTATGTGCTCTGTATCTTCAGAGCACCTGCAAACATAATGGGAATCCACATTAGCACATGGGAGCAAAAGTTTTTAGTACAAGACAAAAATCCAAACTCTTTGCAAAAAATAAAATAAAATAAAATAAAAAATCTCCTGTGCAAGGCAAAACTCTTCATACTCCAATTTATAGCCTACCACAATACACACTATATCCAGTTGCGGCTCATAGGCACTATACAATAATGTTTAAGAACAAAAGACACAAAAGAGTTTGCTCTATAGCTGAAATTCTGAAAACATTTTTCCATTAGTTACTAATTTTTTATGTAGTTAAGTGATTAATTTTATAATGGTCATTCTAGTATAACAGTAGGGATTAAGATGACATCTCTTCCTGTAATGCATCAAACTACTTCCTGGGACTGTCAAGTAATTTTTGCCATCAGATTATCAGAGAATGGAAATGAATCTGAGCTTTGGGTGTTAATGTTTTGATGCAGGTTCACCTAATGCATCGTTCTACCCAGCTACGGTGTCTAACGCATCAGCTAAGAATGCTGCTCATGAATAGGTTTTCTTCAATTTACACTGGCAAGTACCTAAGATTTGGGCAGAGGGAAAGGGAATTTCCTAATTTGGCCTTCTTTTATTTTTCCTTTTTGCCACAGCAGTTTGCTTATTGAGATACCTATCCATTGAAAAGATTATATTGACCTGTACTCTTTACATACAGCATACAATTTTGGTTTTGAGGAATGAATATTTGGTTTAATTCAGGTCTTTTTTTCACTTGTCATATCCAGAAGCAGCTCTTGGCAGGATTCAGTGAAAGCCTCATGAGGTTTTTCAAATATTTCTCAATCTATAATTCTAGCCTGTAATATATTCAGAAGATTATTCATCCAAGTGTTTCCTACTTCCACCCAATGTTTTAGCTCTTTGCACAAGAACAAGGTTAGTGACAGTTGTATTAATTACTTGACAGAAATGCATATCAAGTAAAGTGATTGAAATAATTATTTCAAACATTTTATTTAAATGACTTTGTGCTATGTTAAACTGTGGGAGAGAGAATGAGTTCCTTACTATTAAGGAAGCTTTCTTAATATTACAACATTGTAGAAATCCTAGAATAATCAGCAGAAAGAACGGTATTCTTTTTTCTTTGGCTACCACAATTTTCTTTCAATTTTGGAGATAATTTCTGAATTGTAATGTAATTTTGGCTTTTAATTTAATTTTTAAAAAGCAATCAGGACTTATTTCAAATATAGAGGTAATTTGTTGGTATATTCATTAAAACAAATTGCAATGCTGCAGATCTTACATTAAAATATAGATGCACACTAGTAATTAAAAAATAATAATCAAATAAAAAGCACCACAGAACACTTCAATTACTGATAACAATCATAGTATAATCTTGTCCTACCAAGTGTGTCTCCAGGTACAGTTTAAGGCTGTCTGTCTCTGCTTTAGGAGGAGTCCAATTCTCTGTTGTTTCCATGGCTTCATTTAACCAGTGAATTAATTCATCCAGCTTGCTTACAAACCCCTTACCAGATAAGAAAAAAGAAAGAACAAGAGAAGCAAATTTGTTAGTAAAATGGCAATCTGAAAAACGTATGCTTCTTTTTTTTTTTAAGCTGAAAATGTATTGTACAGCAAACATTTATCTTTTGCAAGCATACAAGGAATAAATATAATTAGATGGTAGGCTTCTAATAAATGAGGAGCAAAACATTTTGGCGGGGATAATCTAAGGAGACATTTTGGGACAGAACAAAATCTGTATGACTGTGAGAAAATAGAAATAAAATGAAAGTTTCAGAACACATGAAGGGGGTACATAAAGTTGCATTGAGATTACAATGGCAATTGAGCTGAAGACCTTGCACTGAGGAGGCTGGGTGTAGCAGGAGCACTTCTGGATGAAAAAGTGCTGAATAAAGCTGCCAAGTTATACCTTGGCAGACTGAGGAAAGAAACTACTTGTCAGAATGTATGCCTTGTGATTCCTGTTTTGATCCTTTGGATGAGATGCAGAGAGAAGAAATCAAACAGTAGGTGAGGCAGAATATATATCATTTAATACAAATATCGTTGATTGCATAGGAACCACACAGATGGTGATACTGAGAAGGAGCTCCTGCTTCTTCAGAAGCACCATTTATTGCAAAATTAGTACCAATTATATTGTCTGATTAAAAACAGTGCCCCTGAATTTACATGATTGGATAATACTATAGGTACATACTGAGTACAAATAATTTTACTGAATTCTTATTCACTGAAAAGCAAGTGTGTAAAATAAACTGACCAAAATGTTTATAGGCAGCCAGAAAATTAACTGTGAAGAGAAATGACCATCTATTACAAGCAACCTAAGATGAAGTTAGGTCTAAAACTGGTTGTACTATAAACTACTGACAATTCCACAGTCCAGTGTGAATTATAAGCTCCAGTAGGATAACAGCTTAGTATACACACTCAGTATCACACTCTTATCATTTTATTTATGGAATGATTTTTAGTAATTACTAATCCATTCAGATAACTGAAAACAAGCTGAGGACAAAATTTTCAAAGACTGGTAAGTCCCTCAGGAATCCAAATCCCGTTCTCCAAAGTTGCACATGAAATTGGAATTCAAACTGATGTGGAAACAGAAGTTCGGACTTTGGAGGCACAGCTGTGTTACAACGGCTGCTCTGAAAGTAACATCACCTATTTTATTTTGTTGGGCCATGACATCAGGGGTGGACATTGGTGGTGTGGCAGTAGAGGTTAAACCTTATCACTGATATACCATTACATTCTGTTGCTGGTGCCAGATGGCAGCAGAGGAGCAATCCAACAAACTGGCATCTGACATGGATGTGTTTATGAAGCAAAGGTGTGTCAATGAATTCCTCCATGTGGAAAAAATGGCATCCACTGACATTCATCACTTACCAGTCATTTCTGGAGACCGAACAGTGAATGTAATGCATGGTAGTATAGTCACTCTGGCCCAGCGCTGTGCAAAGTAATGTCCAGTAGTCAGCTCCTGCCTTAAGGCTCAAGTGCCTGATCTCTAGCAGGATGCTCCAGTGCATACTGGAATCACAGCAGCACAGCATATACTGAGCACCCTGGAGGCCTCGTCTTAATTATCATATTTTTGGTGAGCCACTATGAGTTCCCAGAACGGTAATTAGTCTATTGTCACCTCTTTTCATGGAACCAGACATATCCTAAAGTGCTATAAAGAAGAAAACTGCTATTCTACAGGTTTCATTACAGGCTTTTTATCAGGACATTGTGTGTGTGTGTCTGCTCTTCAGACTGAAACGAAGTTAGCTGCATCTCCTCCTACACATAGGTCATGACAAAAGGACTATGTTACTCCAAGCAATGGGACAAAGTGGGGGACTGAATATGGAGCAAGATGTTCCCCTGACTCCTTACACAAAAAAAGCAAGCAATACACTTGCTTTTTTCCAGCTCATAGCAGAGAATAAGAGATGCCACACTGGCAGACGAATGGGAGATAGGGGGGGTGACAGGGAGAAGAGCAGGAGGAATAAAGTCCTTCTAGACCCTCCAATAAATCTCTGCCGGCATTTTAGCAATGTGCTGTCCTTGAGAGACAAGGTGATATGGCAAACAGAAAAAAATGAAGAAAGGCTCTCTCTTGTATGTGTGTCTTGTACTTTACAAAAACGACACGCATAACATCTACCCACAGTACACGATGTCTGTATGCCTTCAAAAGAGAGCTCAGAAACCTTGCAGGCCTGCACAAGAACAAAATGCAGCTATCAGCAACAGAGTTACTTCTACCCTTGCACAAAACACATGCATGTGTTAGAGTCTGTTAATTTACACTCATATTTGGAAATGCTCACGCACCAGCAGCACAGATTACTAACCCTGCTCATAAACACAAGCAGCACCAGCCTCTTACAAAACCACACTGATACGCGTTCTTTCACTGGGCATCCCGAGACAGTGGCCAGGCACAGGCTGGGCAGCAGGACAGCTCGGCAGCACCAGACCCATTCCCTCCCTGTCTCAGGGAAGTCTCTCTTGCCAGGCAGCGTCTAATCGTAATTTATTTTCCAAATGACGGTAATAAAATGTTGTTGAAAACATTCAAAAGAACACAACAGTAGAGACCGAAAAAAAATCGAAGGGAAAGGAGGGGAAGAAGGGATGAAAAGACCGTGCCCCGCCGCGCGGAGCCACCGGAGGAGGGAGCGCCTCTCCCATGCCAGTGCGCCGTGCCTGGGCCCGCAGCGCCACCTGCCGGCACCGCTGCATCGGCCGGCTGAGAGAGGCGGGCACGGGATGGAGGGAGCGGCGGCACGGCTCGTTGTAGGCACGGTGCCAATAAAAGACGCGCAAAACACACAACTGCTTTTACCTCAGCTTATATGTAAGATTAAATTTAAACAGTGCAGCTCTTGCTTCATTTGTCAATCAACGCTCCGATGTCATTTGCTGTTGTTTTGTTGCTTACAATTTCATCTCCTTTATTTTCATAGCCTGATACCAACACAAGAGCCAGTTTTATCACCTGACCCCCAGCTTTATAACTTAACCCCGCCTGGAAGGCAGCACCAGTCTGAAAATTGAAACCTACGCACATATAACTGGCTGCAGCGGCTCTGGAGATGAGAGCCGGACAGCAGCTCCCTCCTGCTGAGCGCTCCCCACTCCCCTCTGCCTGCCTGCCCAGGGACAGTTAGCTGCAGGCTCAGAGGGACAGACCAGTCCTCACTGCTGATCACAGCCCATGACCAACACACATGGTTCTGCCTCTGCCGGCAGAGCGTTCCCAGCCAGCCCAAAGGGAGACTCAAGCTTCCAGTACCCACAGAAAGAGTGCCGGTGGTGCTGATGGTCCACAAGAAACCCTAACAGAAATACAAGGCAAAGTACCTGCTCTCATCACAGCACTTAAAACAGAAGCAGAAACCAAAACATAACTGAAACCGTACTGAAGAGACGCTGCTCCTCTAAAAATTGACCACATTGAGTCCCTAGCAGCCTGTTTAGCTGGAATGATCAAAGATGTACATGTACTCTGTGACACAAGTTGCATGACAATATTTGCCTTTCTCATTATTTAGGACCTTTCCCAGAATATACATGCTTTCAACAAAAGAATCAGACAAAGTAACTTCTAAAAAGTAATAGGGAGAAAATGCTGTTTTCCAATACTCTGACAGAGCATAAAACATAAATAAATAAGTAAACGCTACAGCATAAATTACATTAAAATAAAAGATGAGACTTAATATGCAATCCTGAGGAGCACTCAGTGAGAGAAATTCATAGGATGACAAATTGTAACTGATACGTTTTCTTACTCTTTCTGCGTTTTCTGTTTTAGATTATGTTTTTCTTTCTCTAAATATTTTTTATCGTCATCAATCTTAAGGTAGGAAAGAGTTTCAATCATTACAAACTTCAGAGTAGCTTTGCTGATTTATATTTGTTAAGAATCTCATCTGGACACTGTTATGCTTACAATGAAAATACAGTAAAATTTATCCAACCCATATTTTGGTAAGGAAAAATTAATTTTTGGAAGTAAAAATAACCTCATAGCCACAATAAAGCTAAAAATTACTGCACAAAATTCCTCAGGGAAAAAAGCGTGGAACAGAACAGAAAAATGGAGCACCAGTATAATCAATCCAGTCTTTGCCTTTTGACCAACTGGTTCATTTTTGCAAATGTGATAGGCTTCTACTATGCTAGCAAACTAGATGTTATTTAAAAAAATCAAGTCCCTACATGACACAGCATAATGCTCTTCTGTGCTGTTTAGGAGAGAAACAAATATTGTATTCTGGATGATTTGTAGCAACTTCTGTTGTAAAGTTTGCAAATAATGATAAAGCTCTTACCATTCCCCATGCAGAAATTTTTTAAACATTCACCGTTAAATCATTCAGCTTTTTCATTTTGTTTTATGACAGCTCTACAGATTTTCCTAGGGACAGGAAAAAAGATCTAAACACACACCCATGAACAAGGCTACAGCAAACAAAATGGCTTAATTTGAAATTTCACATGTTCAAAGACTTGTTTGTTTGTTTTTGTGGTCTAATTTTATTTTCTCTGTATGGATAAGAATGAAGAAGAAAGACAATTATAAGTACTGTGAAAAAAATAACCATAACTCAGTGTGTCTGCTTCAGTGCTGGTGGTCTTATAGAAGGAAAATACACTTTATTAATTTCTTCTACAAAATCAATGAGTTAATTAACCAGAGAACTTTAAAATAATTGGTGGGATTTAAGTAATGACTGCAAGACGTCCTCGTTAATGACCAGATCTCTCAAATTTTGAATCATAAAACATGAGAATTAACTGTTGAGTCACACCAAACTACAGGGATGGATCAGGTCAGAGGCCAAAGGCATGCATGTATACTGGGCCAAGGAAGGATGCACCTCAAAGTGTGCCTTCCATCCTGACTATATTAAAGATAAGGGCCTACAAAAGAGTCCCCCATTTGCTGCACAGGGCTGCAGGGCTCCCTATAGCTCATAGAACTGG